CTATTCACTAGTACTTTAATCCCTGCTTTCCTTTCACCACATAGAAACCCCTGCTCTGTTCTTTGGAAACGTTCGTATTTGTACATGAGCACAGGCTGCCGTAGAATTGCTTAATGAGCAGACTTGTTAGATTGGTTTCATTTAGCTCTGGATAGTTTGGGTTGTAGGACTGGACTTGAACAAAACCTGCTCTTGTGCTGAGAAATGGAGATGTGGATGACCTTTTTCTGGACAAACGTCACCCAGGTATTTTTGCTACAGGACATCATCAGAAATAATCATGCTCCATAAGTGGCTTCTGGAAGGTTGAAAGCACTGATGGGAGTATCTCTTTCATTTGCATACTGTGCTCTCACCCTTACTTGAGTTCAGCAGAGGAGTTTTCCGTTCTGTTTTGAGATTGTTGAAACGCTCAGCTAAAACCAGTAGGACTTACTGCCCTTCAGGAGGCTGTGGCATTGTTGTGTTATAACTGACTGCTCTGCTTACGGACATGAAGGTATCTTCCCTTTTTCGCCAGTCTCCTGAACAAACTGGTTCCAAATCAGGGAAATACTATTGCCTTTTATATGCCAGTCAAGAGTCACGGTGCTTGTGAAGAATGGAGAAGTGCTGAATAACGAAGTGTCTCTTTTGTCAGTGATCATGAAATAAGGCCATGAGGTGCAGTACCCAGAGGGCCGGGATCGCGGTGCGTGTGTTGAAGGTGACTGGGCTGACATTGTCAGGTTTGGTGTGAAGCTGATGGACCTGTTCACATTTATCAGATCTGATAGCCTGCAAGAACTTTGTGTGGCTGCTGTTGTTTGGACAAAGGATGTCTTCCTCTTTGTAATGATGTATCACCTCACTAAGGATAAAATTGGATCTTTAATGTGGGAATAAAAGAAAGCAGCATAGGCTTGAGTCTTTACTGCAAGATGTTGTTCTGTTGAGTGTTGTGCCTTTGAGTTACCCACCCGCTTATTGGTCTACCTGGAAGGTATTATTATCTTTTATTTGATAGATTAAATTGTCTTTTTAAAGGCAATTGCCTGAGGTTCTTGCAAATGCTGGGTTGCATGTAATTCCTGCAAATTAAAACACTGGTTGTTCTACCAAATAACAAAAGGAACTGAGGAGGGAGCAGGAAATAAAATTGTTCAGAATTGTGTATAAAATCTATTCTTTACTAATCTTGTTTAAAACTGTACCATGAGACATAGAAATATATCACTTCTAATCCTTACCTCTTTTTTTCTTCCTTTCTAAAATGAATAGCTAAATCCCTTTTGCCACCTCTGGTCTTCACTGCTGTCCTGTTCATTCCTGTATATCGTTTCCCTGCTCCCTGGTGTTTTGGCAGAACTTTTTAATTTAGCATTGCCATCAGACTTCATTAGTATATGACTACTTTTCTGTTCCAGGATCATTTATTGAAAGTATTAAGTAAAATTGGTGCAAAGGCCAACCGCTGAGAAAGTGTAGTCATAATCTCCTTTTCAGCCCAATGATTATCCTTTCAAACACAATTCGTAATCTTCCCTTAACAAATTGTTTACCCACCTTGGTTCTTTTACTGATTGCCCATCTTAATTGAAAAAGTACCATATGGGAAACTATGTATTATAAGTGCTAAAGAACATTACAGAGGGAGCATGCGTTTTGATGGTGTTATGATAAAAAAACCCGTATGCGCTTTGTTCACGGATTCAGGTAACTTTAAAACTGTAGTTACTGTAATTACATTGGTGGTAAAACAAGGGTGCTGCACACTGACTGTGCAGTTAGCTTTGGCTGTGAAAGGCTGAAACCTTGAATTCTAGACCCATTCTCCATCCACTGTTTACTTCCTCCTTTAGGATGCACGTAATAATAATTCAGTAATACTACAGGTATTCAACCATTTTCCACACTTTTACACCGTATTCTTTATTGTACTCTTGCTTTTTCCTGCAAATAGAACACTGTTTTAAAATTTGGCTTTTCCGTTTTCCTGTTGTATTGACAAGCTGTATTTCTTGTACTCCCTTCTCTTCTCTTATTCAAAGTCCAGGCAAACGGCAAGCTACCAGCAGCTCATATTGACAGTGACATTGGTATTGAAGCTGTGCCAGGTGGGCCTAGAAAACTAGAGCAGAGCTAGCTGAGTGTGAACCTGCTCTTCAGCGATAGCTGTTCTGATTGTGAAAGCCAAAAAGAACTGCGGAATTCCCAGCATTCTTTGTGCCGAAAGCTATTTCTGCTCATCGTGTTTTAAACAGCTGTGTGCTCGGCACAGTAGGCTGTGCACAGAACAGTGCCGAACGCTGGAACTGTTCAGGACAGGCAGAAATATTGACCCGTGTGTTTACGGGGTTGCGTGATTATCTGGAACTAAATTTGCTTTTCTGCGTAAAACTTGGAAGGATGCTTGTAAGAATTTTTTTCATATTTAGACTGTGGAAAGGGGAGACCCCCAAGAAAACAATCAACATCTGTTAAGTAATCCAGCTCATCTCTTGTGCTAATGTGATGTCATCTGTGATTTTGCAGTTGCTAGGCTACTCCAGCTGCTCTGGACTTGCATAGCAAAGCCTCCTTGACTTTAAAGGGGGATGCACGTAAAATACAGTGGCATAGGTGGTGCTTTATGTGCACTTGCTTTCTTAATGCTTCTAAGGGTCACTACTCTCTCCTTTTTTTAGTGTAGAAGTGTTTTTCAGAATCCTTGCAAATGAAATCCTTCTTGTAGAGGCTAGTAGTTCTCATGCATTTAAAAAAAAAATCGACATGGCAACTTGTTAATTCAGAGCTGGATAGTGCTATATATCTTTTACATTTTGATCAAGATAAAAACAGTTTGTGGAGGAGATGAAAAGGGAGATGACTGCAGGGCTTCTGAGTGTTGGCAACAGGGTGCATCAGAGCAGTTTTTGATGTAGTTCTGTAAGATAGGAGGCCTGCATATGAAAAACAAACTACTGCTTGGTCCTTAATGTTTCCTCCTTTGAGTACGTGTAATAAATAAATTGTGAAGTGTATAAAAATAAATGTAGTTGCATTTCATAAGCATTGATTTAATTTTTAAGGATATTAGCAAGGGGAATTTACAACCTTCTCTTCTCCCCTGGTTTTTTTTGGCCACTTTTCCTTCTATATTGCAACTAAAGAACAAATTAGATAACTGAGAAATGGAATTCATATAACTATAACAGACGAGCAATTTTTATTAGTCCTCTTTCTCTAACCTTGTATGCAGATGTATAGGCAGAAGTTGCTTCGGGCACAAAGCCGAAATCTGCTGCTTGATGTGCTTCAAGTAAAAGACTAGAGAATTTTACATGCTGATGCTCCGTCCAAGTTGAATCTGAACTTTCCAAACCCCAGTACGAGAATTCTGTAGAGCTGATCAATTACCTGAATGGGACAGGCAGTTGGTGTTGCTTTTGGCATTTCCTACTTTGCTTAATCCTTTAATAAGAAGCTTTGAAGAAAAACTTATTAAGCAAAATTATCCCAAGCAGACTGAATGAATTAACAAAGGCCAAAGTGGTCATTGTAAGTCATCTGTTGCACTTAAACACTTAGGATCATTTGAATGGAGGAAACAATTTTTAGAAATTGTATAGACAGTGACTGGAGGATTCATCATATTTTCTAATCAGATAAATGCTGTTAGAGGATCTACAGATGAAAGAAAGCACTTACTTTTATCTGACTTTCTTGGGGATCAAATTTTTACCAGAAATTAAAAATACTGCACTCAGCCCTTCAGGGTTGTTTTCCAGTTCTTGTCTTGACTAGAGATGTTGATTTAAACCACTGCTTTGACACTTCTGTATGATGTATTTTTATTTCCATATTGTCCTGAAGACATTTCTCTTTAAGTGTCTGTTAGGCCACGCTCTATAGTTAGGAAGTCCAGAGAGTGAATTCTTTTTCCTGAAGATCTCAAGGTGTCTTTTTGAAGAATGAGAGCTTAGCATGGCATGTTCTTTAGAAGCCTTTATCAGACATCGTTCTCAAGCCATTTAGGTCTTTCTACTATAAATGCCCGCTTGAAAGACCACACAAGTTTGCAAAGACATGGATATGGTTATAGGAAGGTAATAACATCTTTCTATCTTTCTGTGCTTAGGGGACATGAGTTTTGATGGTAACTATACACTGTTGATAGCCTCAATTGGGAAAAAAAAAAATCCAGTAACTGAGAAAGTCCACACACTGAATTCTTCTGGAAAAGATTTCTTCAGGCTAGGGATAAAAGCATTACTTAGCAAAGCTGTATCTGTTCCCTGGGCAAATGGAAGCCTTCAGTTTGAAAGAAAATACTGTACTTCCATTAGAGAATGGAACGTTTTAAAGACATGTTAGTTTATAAAGGGTGTTTAAGTGATTTTCAGTGGGAGGGGGAGGCAAAAACCTATCATATGGCCTATTAAAACAATTTTTATTCTTAAAAGCAGGGAGTAATGAATATCTAGATGTAAAGATAAAGTGAAGAATATCTAAATGTCACCTAAAAAGTACAGTGTGATGCATAGAATAGGGCAGTACAAGTTTTATTGAACTGTTGAGTTTCTCATACTTCAGAGAAGTTCAGTAAGTCTCTTATGCAGTGCCAGAGTTCATGGGGGGGGGGGGGGGGGATTTTTCTCTAGGGTTCTTTGGGGACAAATCCTATGATTTCTTTTTTTTTTTTTTTTTAAGTCTTGCTTCTTAGAAATGTGTGAAAGCAAGGAATCCTTGGTTTTCTTTAAAAAAAAAAAAAACAAAAACAAACAAAAAAAACACCAAAACCCCCAATTTCCTTAGGCTTGCAAAGGAACGTTTTAAATCTACTGTTGAAATGTTTAGGCCACTTCTGGTTCCAGTCCCAGAAAAATAAGAAAACATGGCTTTCTCTCTTTCTATCCTCTTTTTCCTTTCCAATTGATTTTATGTATGCGTAGGATGACAGTTTGGGTACTGCATCTATCCACTGTTCTTTAAAGGAAGTAATTATGGCACACATTTTCCTGTATCCGTTGTTATTACAGGTGCTGAGGATGTTGTGATGGCATTTTCCAGATCAGAGACAGAAGACAGAAGACAGTAACTACAAGGATACCTGAACAACACAGAACTGGAGAGGATAGTGAGATTCCTGAAGATGGAGGAGGATGGCTGAGCATTAATAAGTTCCTTTGCCCACCCTAATTGTTCCTTGGTATTCCTTCTCCTTTGTAATTTTGTTTTCCTTTGCCCAACCCTCAGAATGCATCTCACAGCCATATTCCTGTAAGTTTTTGCTACTCAGCTGGGCTGTGTTAATTAAGGACAAACCTAAAGGTGTATTTTTGATTGGCTCAAAGGGACAGGCTGTGATTGGCTAAAGGAAGACAATTTTTCAAACTTGACCAATGAAAACCTTTTCTCTTGCATTTTATTTTATATTTTAAAGAAAGTCTCTTGACATCCTACTTCTAAAGACGCTTTTCATGCTGTGGTGCTTACTTAGGTCAAACTTGTGAATTTGAAGAGGGTTTGATTTGGCTGCATAGAACTGGAAGCAACTTGTGGTTGGTTGACAATGCAAATGCTTTCTCTTCGGTTGGCTTGCAGGTATTTCGCTGACTTTGACATTTTCATGCAGAAAGCTGATGTTTTGGTGCATTGGTTATTTCTTTATACTTACTGACTTGGGGGAAAAAGACAAACGTGCTTTGCAATATTTATTACATCTACACACATATAATTGCTTGCTTTTTTGGGTTTGTTTTGGTTTTTATTGGCTTTGAAATCATGTTTTTGATTTCCTGTTGGCTGCAGTGTTTCTGATGCAATCAGTTTTTCCATACTCATCTGCTCTGTGGCCTCAAGCTCTTTTGGGAGCATGTGTCAAAAGCATATTTAGTTCAATAAGTCTACCTGTTTAAGCTGGCATATGGAGATCAGCAGCCGTTCTGTGCTACTGTGTGGGCTGTACTACGAACTCCTGGTAGACCTGGCTGTTCAGGTGGCTTCTCTCTTTGCTTCTGACAGAGGAGCTGTAGATATTTTGCAGGAATTGCAAGAATGAGATCTGTGGCTGTGACATGAATTTGCCAAATTTGTATAGAGAATATGTGACCTTGTTTAAAATACTACATATAGTTCCACTTTAACCCTTTAATTGCTGCACAAGACGAGCTCTCACGTAAGGAAAAATTAATGATCATTAACTAAATCCAACTTGCACTGGGCTTTAATAAACTAAGTTTCTAGTCACTTGAAAAATTGTATGTGGTTTGGCTCCTTGCAACCGTTCAGTGATATGGAAATTATCTGGATCCTAAGATAATACCATTTTCTTTAGGCACTGTTCCAAGAGGCAGTAGCGCTGCATTAAGCTGTCTAATACTGAGTGTACAGGTGACACTCTCAGGTTTACTCTATTAGTAGTTGCAGGGACTTAACACACGCACGCGCATTTACAACCTGAAAAACCTGCAGTGAAATTCCCGAAGTGCACTGACTGTTCAGGAATCTGCACATAAAATTTCTAGCACTGCTGTCTAAAACCTAGCACTTCGTTGTCTCTCATATGTGCAGGTCATTTTTACAATACTTCTAGGTTTTCCTGTGGGTTGCACTGACTTTAAGATATTTCAAAATCTATTAAAGCAGAACTCCATTCACTTGTTCCTGGTTCCTTTTGTATGGTTGTTAATTACTTGAAGTAGCAATTCCAGAGTCTGACTGTGACAACGTGACCGTTTTCATGGCAAGAAATTATGATGACAGGATGCTGTTATGGTCTCAAAATGGGGAAGAGGCTTGAGAGAAACCACGGGATGTATGCAAAAGGAAGAACGGACTTGTGAGCACAAGGAGGGAAATTATCTTGAGCAAATAAATACTGTGTAATGAGAACGACTGTACCTGTATTTATGAAAAAGATCTCTTTGATTCAGTTGCAGCTTTGTAAAGTTTAATGTGAAAGTAAATCTTTTACCCCTGTTTTTTGGGGCCAGATAAGAAATTTCTTTATTAAAATAAACCAGGAATGAGCCCAAAAGATTCTTTAAATTTTGAGCTGGTTGCCGAAGAGGCATTTAATTTTAACTTTGGTGCAAAGGGGGGCAGCCCTTAAAGGGTTAATTTAAGGGGATACGTGTGTTTCTGGCTGCTGGCTGGAATGAATGGGCTGGATTGTGGTGGCCTGTCGTTGTCAAGCTAACATGCATCCTCCATGTGTATCTATGGCATTTCTGACCTGTTAAATCTTTTCAAGGAGAAAAGTGAAGTGTTTATGTGGTTTAATCTTTTCACTAAAAATGTAACTGTTGGGGGGGAAATACAGTTTTTAATAGCTACTCTTGTTTCTTATTGATTTATTATACTGTTAAACCGCCAAATGGAAAATACTTGTTTCACCTTTGTGAAAGACTTCCATGTAGACTCCAAGTTTGGAGTAGTATGTTGAGAAGGATATATTGAGAAAAGCAATGTGTTGTATAACAACATGACTGGGGATTCAGAAACCAGAGGGGATGTGTAGTCTCTTGAGAATATTTGTGTTTGCTTTGTCACCTGTGTGCTCTCCCCCTCCCCACTGGTGATTCCTTAACTTTAAATTAGGGCTGCAAGATTTATAGTAAAGAATTCATATATAAATCGGGGAGAAAGCTGTGGAAAAGAGGGTTTTCCAATGTTCTTCTTGAATTATATTTCTAAGTATTTATCTTCTTGCTATGAAAACTAAATCCCTATTACCACTGTGGAGCCTGGATTAATTGGGAGGTAGAGAATCCCGCACAGAGTACGTCAGCATGGTTGACTTGTCTATTGTACGTACAAATTTCTCTAGCTTTACCGTTGTGCTTTTGCCTTCTCAAGCAAACCACTACTAATAAAAATAAGAAATCCAATGTCTTAGAGGTCAAAGGTGAGTATAGAAATAGATTTGTAAATAGAAAAGGCTGTATAGTTCAACTACCAACCAAATAGTGCTTAAGGCATCCAGTAAGGGATCGTAAAAGCTTTAGAGGCATCTTCCGGAAAAGCACGCATCCTTTGGGTGGTCTTTTGGGGAGACGTGTTCCTTTAGATATTCAAAATGTGCTGTTGTACTTCTTCTCTTGCCAAGCTTATCATCTGCCTCTCCTAACACTGTATTTTCCAGAGCTTGAGGAAGAGATTTAGAGCTGAATCAGATACTCCTCTCATCTCTCTCCAGATGGGCAGCAATTGCTGTAACTGTCAGTAGGTCATTGTGTCTGTGATCGTTGCCCATTGTAAATGAAAATGAGATTCCACCATTCACATAGGCCTTTAGATTGATTCTCCCAAATCCTAAAATAAACCCTGGTGTAACAGAACATGTGAGCTTGTGGCACAGCAACACTTTGGAAGGAGCTATTGCCTGAAGGAAGCTGGACCACTAATAAAATAAAATAAGCTCTTCAGATTTTTTTGTTGCTATTCTTATTGAAGGTAAGTAGTTACTATAAGTTGTCGTCTTCTCTTGGCTGTTCGGTGGCCTGTGTGAAAGTTTCTAATGCTTTACCATTAAATGTGTCTCAGTTCCATAAGGTCTGTATTTCTAATTCACCAGCAGCCTAAATAGTTCTGGTGAAGGCTAAAGATTAAATGGCCCATGAAATTCAAAGACCTCTGTCACCTATAGAAGAGATCATCCTAAATAAGACTTCAGGGTCATATGTGGGATAAATTTCTATAGCTATTGAGAATCTGTTACAAAAATAGAGCAGTGCCATGGCTGAAGTTACTGGTGTTTTATAATGCAAGAGGGGGGAAAAAAAAAAAAAAAGGCCAGAATTTGAAAGCTTTGAATCAAATACATATAATGTGTGTTAGAAATTATTTTATGAAAGACATACTGAGTGCCTGGGCAATGAGGGGAATGTATGATTTGGATTACTTTAAGATTAGTCCTTCAGCTTTCTTTTTGATCTCTTGCCTCCTAAAGGACTGTGTGGCAGAGCTGACAGCAAAAAAGGCTGCGGGGCACTGGGACCAGCAGAAACCAACAGTGCAGTAAGAACAATTTCTGGAGGTTTAAGAAATCTTCAGTTGTATTCAGTCTCTACAAAAGAAAGAGTCCTTAGTGAGTAAGCATCTCTCCCTCACTCTTATTCATCAGTAACAAAGTGTTCCAAAGCTTAGCTCTTAATAAAGAGCTTTTAAGAAGCTTTGTTAAAACTGCAGAATAGTTGTTTTAGGTGTAAGAGTAACTGGAGCACGGAAGTGTTGCACAGTTGCTGCCTTGGTGGGATATTTGCTGAATGCAGTTGATTTTTAAATTAACTGACAGCAATATGGTATACATCTAGCCTCAGCATCAACCTATTCAACACTCAAATGAAACTGGACTTATTTGTTACTCAGCACTGCGGTCAGGTGTGCGTTGTATGCAGGGCAAATCCTTTCCTGTTCACAGCATCACCAGGAAATAAAATTTATTGTTTAATTTCTTTTAGATTAAATGTTTTCATTTGTTTTATTTCACCTTGTGCCACAGAGTAGTGCTAAGGGTCCTGTCAGTTAGGCCTGGATTAATTATTTCAATGAACTTAGGCAATATGAATGACCTGGCACAGAACTAGCTTTTAAAGGTGTTAAAATGTGTCAAGTTTTGGTAATCATGAGCCAGGCATAGTGCTGATGGGTGTTGGTGGACAGACTTTCTTTCTTGCAGCCTGAGGTGTAGCATGATCGGTTTGCTATAGTGCTTGCATCCTGCAAAGTTTCTATCCTGCGTACCTGTGACGACTTCAGTGCTGCAGTAAATAGGTCACTGGATTGCTGTGGTTCTTCCAGATCTGCCTTAGACTTGCCGTGTGAATACAGCAAGTCTGTACAGATGCTTTGCACTACAGCTCCCCTTAAACCTACTTGTTACTGGTGCTTTTCAGTTTTACAAATATGAGTGCTGTATAACAGGGAGGAGCGTTTTTATTACTTACCAAGGTAAGAGAGGAGCTTGGGTCTGTTCCCTGTCAGACTGGAGCAGGTTCCCATACAAAGACAAAAAAGAAATCACCTACTGTCTTCTGAGCTCTGCTTTCATTTTCTCTGCAGCTGATTTGCCCTAAGCAGAATTCCTGCAGTATGTTATAAGCAACCTGGCTAGCTTCCTTTGTAGCCTGAAGCACTTCAATTTGGGGGATTGTTTATTTTGGAAAAGAGAAAAAAATTTTTTTAAGTCTTATAACTTGGCCTGCTTACAAGCTGCCTCATGTATCGGCATGAAATAGTTATATACACAGAGCTTTTTGCTGTCTTGACATTTTCCAGGTTAACTCTCCTTGCTACTAAATGCTGCTCTGTGACCAGAGGCATGTGAAACTCGGAAAATAAACTTTCAGCCTTTGTTTAACAATTACAATACTAACTCCAACCCAGATGTGGATGGATGCATCTATACTTTTCTTTAGCTTTTCACCTCTGATGGAGTTAGAGCAATCGCTGCAGGGTCAGAAGGTGATCCTGCCTGTACCCTTGATGGAGCAGCTGGAGACACTTGCTGGATGCCTAGTAAGCACCCTCTCCCCATGTGTTGGGCACCTCATTGCTGCGCAGCACCTGAGCTCTTTAGACCCCCGCAGAGAAAAAGGCCCTTTACCCACTCTGTGAGTAACACAGGTGGTTAATAACTAGTTTTTTCCAAGGTTGTAAAATACTTCTGATTTAAGTGGGTTGAGCTGAATCCTAAGGTTACATCTGCATTCTGAGTTGAGACTTTT